ATAATCCAATGTCCCTTTCACGTTCCTTAAAATTATTTTGCCAGCCTCCCTATGATTCGAGATGGCTTCTCCATGAATTTGCTAAGTGATAACTCCAAATATTAGCATATTCTTTGCTTAACAAAACTATGTATTACTTGAATTTCAGTGTGAAAACCATCACAATATTTTATTTATGGCATACTTTCTTGATCTACTCTGGTTAGCATCATACATAATTGGTTTGGTGAGATTATTAACGTTTTTGGCCTTTTTAAGCAGTGATTCTGGTCCAGAAAAGCTAAGGCATAAGAAGTAAGCGATGGCCCTGACCGCTCGACAAGCGACGCCTTCCTTGCTTAAGCCAGCGACCAGACACCTACCGCAGTGAAACACCGACAAATCACTCCAGAAAATGCCTAAGTGTCCAAACCGCAGCGGCATAGCCATTCCTCTACCAGCCAGCAATGATAGCTCCGCTTAGTTGCACTGATGCCCTCCAGCCATCTAGGCAAGTAAGGAAGATCTGCGCCCCTACAAGTCAAAGTAAGCGAAGCGAGCACCCTGGAGTTATGGCCAGCATAACTGCTTCAACAGAATAACTGCCGCCAACTGCCTAACTGCTCAACAGTTGAAACCACTTCTCAACTGCTCGCAACTGCTATTTTGATTATCTATAAATAGGGTCAGATATCTATTTTAAGATATACTTCGACAAAAGTATGCACTTGTATTTTTCTGCGTTCTTCATAGCTGTCTTCTACCTCCCGAAAGCTCCAACCCTGTAAGAAAATTCTCAGCAGGAGGCTAGGGGAGTTGACATTTTTCTCCTCCTCTGGCCGCTACTTCACTGTTTTTTAGATTTCATTTACAACTTTCATTTATAGCTTTTGTAGTCATAGAACTTTACTGATTTCCATAGTAAATAATGACATATCAAATTTTTCTACATCATCACTTCTTCTCCGTTTTCACATTTGTGTAAACCTGAGTCAAAAAAAAATTTTGAATCGGTGAGAAAGGACAGAGAAGAATCGACTATCTAAGCCCTGTTTCACATAAAAAATAGATTCAGGGTAGTTCAATGTAGTTAACTACGTGGGAGCCTTGTCGACCTTCTTAATTACTGATCTGAATTCGATTTTGATTAAAAAGAGGTAACAGAAGTGTAAAACCACTAATGAGATAGAAATTGGGATAATTAAAGGGGCATAGGCGCTTATCTATTGGGCCACAGAGATTTCTAGTGACAGTAGAGTTTTTTGCTTATAATGTTGTAATTCTGGGCGTCATTGAAGTCTTGTTGTAAATTCCTTAAGGTCAAGTATCAGCGATTTGAGTTCTATATAACTATGTTTATATGATAACATTCACACCTCCTATCGCTCTCGTATTATACATATATTCTTCGATTAAGCAGCATCCTCATTCGCTCATTTCATCCATTATAACCTAGCCATTAAGGAACACATAGATCAGACGCGGCACCTCTTGATGACCCTCCACCACTCAATATATATTTATATTTTGCGCTCATCACTCTCGCTCCCTTCCGCTCACAAACCGTTTGTATTACCTTCATCAACCACCAATTTTGCTTCACTCATCTCCACTCATCCTTACCGCTTTCTTCCAGTTTTGTTCTTTTGTTGTTCTATTCCTGGGCTCGCTCATGATCAAGCCTCTCTATTGCTTTTTTTTTCCATCGCTTTTCACTAGATTAATTCTTGATTGAATTTTGCGACTTAAAATCCTTGTGTTCGAACTAGAAACTCACAAGTTAAAGAGTATAAATAATTACGATAAACGATTCAGGGTCTACAACTACATTTTTAATCTATATCTGACCACTCACAATAGTCCATTCATTTTGATTTCGACCAAAATTCTCTGTACTTGAATTTACAAAAGTCATCTTGTCACTAACCAAGCTCACAATGAACATAATGTCAGGCCGAGTGGTTGTAAGGTACATCAAGTTTCTGATTAGGCTACAAACCATTGTTGTGTCAACCATCTTACCTTCTCAATTTTTCCTCAACTACAAACCTATTACACAAGGGGTTGTTACTGAATTGACATACTCTATATTGAACTTTCTTAGAACCTCAGCTGCATATTTTTCTTGAGAAATGAAAATTCCAAATTTTGATTGTTCAACCTTGATCTCAAATTCCTTCATTATAGCCGCTTTAAAATTTTCAAGCGTCTTAAAATCATTTCTAGTGAAGATAAGATCGTCAACATAAAGGCTCACAATCATAACACCACCATTGCAACATTTTTTTACATAGAGAGTATGCTCGAGTAGGCATCTCTCAAAGCCAAACTTCAAGAAAAAATCATTAATGCTTCCGTACTATCATCAATCCTTCTTAATTGCAATGAAGATCGTGTTTGAGTCGATCAAAATGAACAATACTTGGAGCTTGATAGATCTGCTCGAGGGACAGCAACCCATTGGCTTAAAATGGTTAGTATAATTAAAAAAGGACGATGCAGGAAATGTAATGAGACACAAAGCTCGCTTGGTCGCAAAAGGATATGTTGTAACACCCCCAGTTGGCTTATACTGGAAATGCTACCGCCACACTGCATCATGAGGTCGTCATCTCCTACTTCGGGCCCCACAATACAGTGTTAAGGCTAAAATTAACCATAAAAGCACATTATGATATAACAAAATCTGGTTTATGAATATTTACAAAACACACCCCTTAACAAGAGGTTTTTCCGGTTAAAAATTTACATATAATACAATAGACGTAAGTTCAATCACTCAGCCCGTCCTTCTATATCCGGAGACGTCCCCTGTCTCGGATGTGCCATGCATACCTGAAAGAAATATTTTTTTAAAAGCAGTCTAGAATTAAATCCATTTTAAGAACTACGTGAAATATGTCATTTTATACCTTTTTAAAATAAATTTTAATACCCGTTAATCATAAAATACGTGTCATGTCATGTGAATAGTGAAATGATGCAATACAGATATCAAACTCGACAACAATGCACATCCACACATAAATACACATCCGCCGAAGTGAGAAGCCGGAATAACCTCGGCTCCATAATAATAGGCTCACTGCATCTGTCTAAGTGAGCAGCCGGAATACCCTCGGCCCCGCAATAACAAGCTCACTAGACCATCATCAATAAATAGCCGGAAAATCCTCGGCTCAAGGAAGGACCTGATAAACCCATAATAATATAATGGACATCCGGTCACTCCCATAAACCCGTCATATGACTCCCACAATCAATACATGGATAGCCGAACGTTGTCGCCATTAACCACAAGACGCCCCATAGTCTGTGATAGCGAAGATAGGACCCCCACTAACTAGCCCTATCCCGTGTAATGTAGTAGAATCCGTGCAACCTGGAATCACCCAAAGGGAAACCCGGAAACTCTACTCCTCCTCGTGTGCCCTAACGAGATCACGTTTGGAGTTTGGCATATGATCCTAAACTACCGGTAGACCTCACTAGTAGCTACTCCAATAAGGTGGAACAACACCGAACACGAATGATTAGACCAAATACGTCTTAACTACAATGGGTTTGATCCCTGAATGACCGTGCGACTAAGTCACCCAGTTGTCCGACTACTATCGTCCACTATCGCCAAAGTGTTACGGTACATCGGGGTCGAATATCCTAACCCCAGATGATGCCCTTTCCTAGCACTACCGCACACGGCGACTAAACGATAGCATAAAACATAGCTGATAAACCGTGCAATATGTGTGCATCATGTCAAATAAGTGAATTTACGGAAAAGGGCTGGTGAGACAGCTCACCTATCCTCATTTTCATAAATTCACGTACGCAATCAAATACGTATATCAAATATCATGAACCGTGAAGTCTCCCACATGCATACGCACACATATATATAAATATATACATGCAATGACAAAATGATTCACATAATATCACATTAACATATTAATCAAAATTGCATGCAACATGCATACCTAATTTCTTAAAATTAGATTTAATTCCTTATTGCTTACCTCTTATCAACATTCCTTAGCTTTTGCAATCTCACCCGAATCTCCCTCCAACGTACACCTGCCCCATTATTTACTCAAATCAGCTAAGCTATATGCTTATTCATAGGAGTTACCTGCTTATTCAAAAGCTAATTTCTATAATTAGTTCGTTGGGTTTCAAACTTTTATATTTAGTAGAATACGATATTCTAGGTATAAAACTCTTATACCTCCTACTATTTATATCGGCTGATTGTTAAATAAAAATACTTAGAAATATGAATAAACAGGCAGGTGCAATACACTGCCGGTTTCAATTCGACTCGGATCGATACGAAATTCTCAAAATATAATGTTAGGACTACGAATAGGCTATTAGCTAAAGAACTTAGTCGATTAAATAGTCAAATAGCCGGTTATGAATTTTTTGAAAAATTTTAAATTTAATATCTTCAATATCTAAATTCATATTAAAATCCATACTTAAATTCTACGTCTAACAAGGAATACAATACTAAAGTCAGAATCGAAATCGAATGGCTAAATCTTTTTGTTTCTTCCTTTCTTTTTCTTTCTTCTTTTCTTCTTCTTTCCCTGCGTTTCTTCCGCTTCCTTCCTTCGCAGGTAAGATTGATTTATATATATAATTATATTATTATTATTATTATATATTATATTATATTATTATTATTATAAGTAAAAGTTATTATTAATATTATTATCATCGTCCATCCATATCATTATTATCATCACTTATTATTATTATATTATTATATATATTATATTTTATATTTATTCTTATCAATATTTATCTGTTTAACAGTCTTTTCAATCATAATCAATATACAAAATACGAATAAAATTTATTCCAGAATATTAATTTCTTGATCCCAAAATATTATAAAAATATTTATTTGCTATAATAATATTATTTTATACATTCCAAAATCGGGGTATTACAATTCAATCCCCCTTAAAAGATTTCGTCCCCGAAATCTAAACTCAAACACATAACAACACTACTTAATTAAACAAATGTGGGTATGCTTTGAACATCTCTTGTTCTATTTCCCACGTGGCCTCTTCTACTCCATGCCGGGACCATATTACCTTCACCATACGAATATCTCGGTTCCTCATAGTTCGAATCTTTGTGTCCATGATCCAAAGAGGCACTTCCTCATACGAAAGATCCTCATTTAGCTCTAACTCATCGGGAGATAAAATATGAGAAGGATCTGCGACATACCTACGAAGCTGTGATACATGGAACACATTATGAATTCGTTCCATGCAATTAGGAAGTGCTAACCGATAAGCCCAATTTCTAACTCGATCGAGGATTTCATAGTGTCCAACATAGCGCGGACTCAATTTTCCGTTAATTCCAAATCTTCTAATACCTTTCATTGGAGATACTTTTACCAAGACGTTTGAAATTGACGTTCATGTCAGGCTTTCTCGGCATAACGTTTTTGACGATCTTGAGCTATTTTCATCTTCTCCCTGATAACTCGAATCTTATTTTTTGATTCTTCGATCATTTCTGGACCTAATATCAGTCGATCACTCATGTCATCCGAACTTAAAGGAGTCCTGCATTTTCGTCCATAAAGAGCTTCAAAAGGAGCCATTCCAATACTCGTTTGATAACTATTATTATATGAGAATTCCACTAAATCCAAGTGGTCCTCCCAATTTCCTTGAAATTCTATTGCACAAGCTCTTAGCATATCTTCCAGAATACGGATAGTTCGCTCTGATTGACCATCAGTCATTGGATGGAATGCAGTACTCACATGTAACTGAGTACCAAAGGCTTCTTGCAATTTTTGCCAAAATCGAGATTCAAAACATGGATCACACGATCTGATATGATTACCTCAGGAATACCGTGTCGTTTCACCACATGATGAACATATAATTTGGCCAACTTCTACATACTCGAAGTCATACGTACTAGGATAAACACTGCTGACTTGGTCAATCTATCTATAATCGCCCAAATTGCAGATGTTCCCGACTTCACCCTTGGAAGTCCTGTCACAAAATCCATTTCAATAGAATCCCATTTCCAGAGTGGAACTTCTAAAGGTTGTAGCAACCCCATCGGTCTATGATGTTCTGCTTTCACCTTTTGGAAGTTTAAGCATTGTGCAACAACTTTGGACACATCCTTCTTCATGCCCTTCCACCAAAAATGTTGACGTAAGTCTTGATAGATTTTAATCCCTCATGGATGTACTGAATATGGTGTATTATGAGCCTCACTCATAATTTTCTCCTTCAAATCGCTTCGGTCCTTCAGGATACACCACCTCCCATGGAATCGAAGACTCCCATCTGAAACAATATTAAAGTTTTGAGTCTGACCGCACTGAACTTTTATAGCTAGCTCGACCATCTTATTATCTTCCATTTGAGCCGCTCTAATATGATCATAAATTTCAGGCTCAACTTGCATCATTTGCAAATATCCCCGCGTCATGCCCCGTCCAAGTAATTCAATTTCCATCCGTGCTAAATCTTGACACTGTTCATCGGCAACTGACATAGAACCTTACTTATGCCTTGGTTTTCGACTCAAGGCATCAGCTACAACATTTTCTTTGCCTTCATGATATAGAATTTCGAGATCATAATCCTTCATCAATTCTAACCATCTTCTTTGTCTTAAATTTAATTCTCTTTGGGTGAAGATATATTTCAGACTTTGATGGTCAATAAACATTCTAAAATGGGCACCATAAAGATAGTGCCTCCAAATCTTCAAAGCAAACACAACTACTGCCATCTCTAAGTCATGTGTAGGATAATTCTCTTCGTTAGGTTTTAGTTGTCGTTACGCATAAGCAATAACTCTTTGATTCTGCATAAAGACGCGTCCCAATCCCCTTTTTAAAGCATCACTATAAACTTCAAAATCCTCACCCTCTACTGGCAAAGCCAAGACTGGTGCTGAAATTAATCGATGTTTCAATTCTAAGAAAGAGGACTCACACTCACGATCCCAATTAATCATTGCGTTCTTCTTTAGAAAATTAGTTAATGGTTTCGCAATCTTCGAAAAATCAAGAACTAATCTTCGGTAATATCCTGCCAAACCCAAAAAGCTTCTTACTTCTGATTGATTGGTAGGTCTTGGCCAATCCGAGATTACCGCAACTTTAGAAGGATCTACTGAGATACCCTTACCAGAAACTACATGCCTCAAGAAAGCAACCTTTTTCAACCAAAACTCACATTTGGATAACTTGACATATAACTTCCTCGCACGCAGTGTATTTAGGGTCACGCGCAAATGTTTTGCATGTGTCTTTTTATCTGGAGAATATACCAAGATATCATCGATAAATATCACCACAAACTGATCAAGGTATGGTTGAAAAATTCGATTCATCAAATCCATAAACGCAGCCGGGGCGTTGGTCAAGCCAAAGAACATAACCGTAAACTCATAATGGCCGTATCTAGTACTTAAAGCTGTCTTAGGAATATCATACTCTGCAACCCTTAGTTGATAATATCCAAACCTCAAGTCAATCTTGGAGAATATACTTGCACCTCTCAGTTGATCAAATAGATCATCAATTCTCGGAAGAGGATATTTGTTCTTTACCGTTACTTTATTCAGCCCTCGGTAGTCAATACATAACCTCAAGCTTCCATCTTTCTTTTTCACAAATAAAATTGGAGCACCCCAAGGCGACGTACTAGGACGAATGTAACCTTTATCCAGTAATTCCTGTAGTTCCAATTTAAGTTCAGCGAGTTCTAACGGTGCCATGTGATATGGGGCTCTTGATACTGGCTCGGCGTCTGACACAATATCAATAGTAAAATCCACCTCACGTGTAATACCCCGATTTTGGAGTGTATAAAATAATATTATTATAGCAAATAAATATTTTTATAATATTTTGGAATTAAAAAATTAATATTTTGGGATAAATCTTATTCATATTTTATATGTTGATTATGATTGAAAAGACTGTTAAATGGATAAATATCGATAAGAATAAATATAAAAATATAATATATAATTTAATAATATAATATAATAAATAAATAAAGAGGATAAAGATGTTTATAATAATAATAATAATAACATTAATAATAGTATAATATAATATAATATAATATATAATAATAATAGAATAATATAATATAAATATAAATATTAAGTAAAGAAAAACAAGCAAACTTACATGCGAAGCGAAGGAAGGCAGAGGAAGAAACACGAAGAAGAAGAAATGAGAAAAAGAAAATAAGAAAGAAAAAAATTTAGCCGTTCGATTTCGATTCCGATTTCGGTATTGTATTTCTTGTTATACATAAAATTTAATTATGGATTTTAATATGAATTTAGATATTGAAGATATTAAATTAGAAATTCTTAAAAAAATTCATAACTGGCTATTTGTCTATTTAATCGACGAATTTCTTTAGCTAATAGCCTATTCGTAGTCCTAGCATTATATTATGAGAATTTCGTATCGATCCGTGTCGAATCGAAAACGGCAGTGTACTGCACCTGCATGTTTATTCATATCTTTAAGTAATTTTATTTAATAATCGGGCGATATAAATATTATGAGGTATAAGAGTTTTATAGCTAGAATATCGTAGTCTACTAAATATAAAAGTTAGAAACCCAATGAGCTAACTATAGAAATTAGCTTTTGAATAAGCAGGTAGCTCCTATAAATAAGCATATAGCTCAGCTGAATTGAGTAAATAATGGAACAGGTGTATGTTGGAAGAGATTGGGTGAAATTGCGAAAGCTAGGGAGTGTCGGCAAGAGGTAAGCAGTAGGGAATTAAATCTAATATTGAGAAATTAGGTATGCATATTGCGTGCGATTCTGATTAATATGTTAGTGTGATATTATGTGAATCATTTTGTCAGTGCATGTATATATTTATATATATGTGTGTGTATGCATGTGGGAGACTTCACGGTTTATGATATTTGATATACGTATTTGATCGCATTGGTGAATTTATGAAAAGGATGATAGGTGAGCTGTCTCACCAGCCATTTTCGGTAACTTCACTTATTTGGCATGTTGCACACATATTGCACAGTTTATCGGATATGATTTATGGATCTATCGTCTAGTCGCCGTATGCGGTAGTGCTAGGCGAGGGCATTATCTGGGGTTAGGATATTCGACCCCGATGTACCGTAACACTTTGGCGATAGTGGACGATAGTAGTCGGACAACTGGGTGACTTAGTCGCACGGTCATTCAGGGATTAGACCCATGGTAGTTGAGACGTATTTTGGTCTAATCATTCGTGTTTGGTGTTGTTCCACTCATTGGAGTAGCTACTAGTGAGGTCTACCGGTAGTTTAGGATCATATGCCAAACTCCAAACGTGATCTCGTTAGGGCACGCGAGGAGGAGTAGAGTTTCCGGGTTTCCCTTTGGGTGATTCCAGGTTGCGCGGATTCTACTACATTACACGGGATAGGGCTAGTCAGCGGAGGTCCTATCTTCGTTATCACAGACTATGGGGTGTCTTGTGGTTAATGGCGACAACTTTCGGCTATCCATGTATTGATTGTGGGAGTGGTATGGTGGGTATATGGAAGTGACCGGATGACCGTTACATTATTATGGGTTTATCAAATCCTTCCTTGAGTCGAGGATTTTCCGGCTATTTATTGATGATGGTCTAGTGAGCTTGTTATTACGGGGCCGAGGGTATTCCAGCTGCTCACTTAGACAGATGTAGTGAGCCTATGATTATGGAGCCGAGGTTATTCCGGCTGCTCGCTTTGGCGGATATACACATATGTGAGTGTGCATTGTTGTCGAGTTTGATATCTGTATTGCATCATTTCACTATTGGCATGACATGACACGTATTTTATGATTAACGGGAATTAGAATTTATTTTAAAAAGGTGTGAAATGACATATTTCACGTTAATTCTTAAAATGGAATTAATTCTGGACTGCTTCTACGAAACTATTTGTTTCAGGTATGCATGGCACATCCGAGACAGGGGACGTCTCGAGATATAGAAAGATGGGCTGAGTGAGTGAACTTACGTCTATTGTATTATATGTAAATTTTTAACCGGAAAAAAAACCTCTTGTTAAGGGGTGTGTTTTGTAAATATTTATAAATCAGATTATCTTATATAAATAATGCGCTTTTATGGTAATTTTAGCCTTAACACTGTATTGTGGGGCCCGAAGTAGGAGGTGACGACCTCATGATGCAGTGTGGCGGTAACATTTCCAGTATGAGCCAACTGGGGGTGTTACATCACGAGCTGGTGGCATACCAGGAATATCATCAAGAAATACATCAGGAAAATCTCGAATCAGAGGAATATTTTGCAATTGCTGCTCCCCTTGCTTCTTTGCTTTCGAACATGAGACGGTATAAACCTAG